GTCGAAGTTTCTGAATCGGAAGAAGCATTCCGATCTGAAACAGGAAAGAGAGACAATGACAATGGTGAAGGGAGATTTGCTAAAAGCAGTGGAGTACGTCATCCATCTCACCGTTATGGTTGCGCAATCTCAATCGCAGGCGGAACGAATGAAACAACTGATGACGAAGGCCTTGCTGGAGCATATGAAGGAACGGTTTAACAAGGCCTTTCAGGAACTTACGAAGGAACAGATTACCAAGGCCTTGCCGGAATGAGTACCATCTCTTACCAAATATCCCTACCCATGCCCAATTTTTTTTTTTTTAATTTCCATATTCAGATTTTTATTGTTTAGTTTTATAACTTGCTTATCACACATATGTGTGTGTATCTATATATATATATATATATAGCTTGTTCAAAAATAGACTCGACTTGTAAATATATTATTAATATAAATATCATCTCCGTCTCCTGCTATTTGTAATGTTATGTATGTGTGAGTTGAAGGAAAACACCAATGAAACCAAGCACCAGTCTTCAACTACATTCATTGACAAGATTTGCCCTGTAACCCCTCAAGGGTAAATTAAAAATATCGTAACCATAATGAAAAAGGAAAACATTTGCTGCAAGAGCTCCCATATGTTGCTCTCCACCTCCGCGATCTGCTTCTCCAAGTATTCCTTCGATATCTGATGAGTGATGAATAAACCCGGTAAATAAGGCAACGAAAATGACTCTAACACGATCTCCATTCCAAACATTATCCCTATCAAACTCGATCGTACACCCATGTTTAATTGTATTCTGAATTTCAAGCCCTATACCTGGTTTGTTTATTATTTGCAGACCCTCCATAGTATGTTTCAGTTTCATCAGTGCTTACCAGCAGATTGATGGAAACGTAGAATTTCCACCAAAGAAAAAAGAACAGAAATGAAAGATTAATGTTGCTTTAGGAGACCATAAAATCCCAAGGGTTTTGAGATTGCCCTCTTCTCCAGTTTCTTGATCAAAATGTTGATACTTTCATTCATAGATAGGGTTTTCCGTATATACAACAAAAGGATAATGTCATTCGGGTTTCTCTCCCCAAATGTACAATTATCATTTTACCCATTTCCTATCACATACCAGCAAGAGAATGTGTATGATTGAGAGCAGAGAAGATATACCTGCACTGACCAGGGCTCTAAAACAAACATGCCCGCCATTTGAGACACAACCACGTCCTTGTAAAAGAAAGACTATCGGTACTCACGTTCTTCCTGCAAAATAAAACAGAAGAAGCAAGTCAGACGGATGCTTTGAACTGGAGTTCCACATTCATATCTAAATGATGTTTCCCCTGTTTAAGTTATCAACTCGTAGGAAAAGCAAGTGTCATTGATAGTAAGGTGTTCTTTTTATGCAAATTCTATCACAAGGAGACAGCTTCAATCAATATCGATTGACTTGTATGTGATAGTATCTTCGGGCAATGGCCGCAACTCCTCCAAGGTCAAGAAAGCACGTTTGTTTTCTTCTTTGTTCTGTGCCTAATTCTGAACCTACATGAGTTCAGATACTCAACGTAAACAGATGCTCACAATAAGCACTAGCGCACATGCTATATAAGTCTCATCTCAAGATTCAAAGGATTTTGTAGAACAGCTATATTTCCACTCCGTCTCTCCCCAAAGATCTTGTTTTGTGATGTACCAAAGGAATGGACGATACAAAAGAAGTCCTCCACTATAACAATCTAGCATCGTGAACTTAAGTTTTCATCATCAGACTTGCTACTACAATGGAAGATACTCACATACAGAGAAGTAAATCCAATCTCAAACAAATTTGAATAGAAATGTGGGAAGCTTTGGTCCCATCAGAGAAACCACTTTTACCTTGGTTCAGGCCACAAATTTCGACTACAAAACTAGGGTTTTTGCGGAAAATATGGTTGTTTTCACAGGATGAGGAGAAAGAAGATTAGCATAATGTAAATTACAGTGATTTGAACAAGGAAATTGTACCTGTTTCAGTTTCCCACTAATCAATCATGCGACCTTGAATCTCCATGAAAGTCTGCATTTCATACATCGGAAACTCTAAACAAACACTTTTTCTTTTCTCATCATCTGTTTGGAAGCCGACAAAATTCCGAGCCCTAGGATAAAAAGAAACAAGTTGCCCCCATTTTCTATCTGTCCTTCTCCACCGAAATATTCTCGGCCGCCAAACAGAACACATTCCAGGAAAATAAAGAGAAATCAATCATACTCATATCTTTTTGCTCCGTCCGCCATTTCCGCAGAGATCTTCGAGCTTCCAAACGAGGAAACAACTTTCGATTTGGGCGAGACTTGCAGAAACCCGCGATGGTTGAAACTTGAAGCAGATGAGAGCGGGAACCGTCTTGGGTTCAATCTCGGGTCGGCTAATTTGGTTCAGGGTGCTCCATTCGGTTTACCGGTTAGTTTCGGTAACCTGTTTTGATATCAATGAAACTAAGTATTATTCGTTCCGGTTTACTTTGATTTTGATTTCGGTTTCGATTAAATTATATTTTTCTCTAATATTTCAAAACTTATTTTGGCGTTTCTTTGTCCATCTGAATCAACTAAAATTTTATTATTCGAAAGTTAACCCACCACTAATTTTCTAGTTCAAATTAGATTTAAAAACATATTTTTAATTAAAAAATAGGAACCAAAGTCAAGTAAAAATAATATTTTTTTATATTTTGATTAATATCTAGTTATATATATTTCATCACATAAAAATAAAAGTTCAAAATAACGAAAATCTACTTATTAAATAATTGAATTATTTAAAATATTTAAAGTACTTTTTCTTATAAATTTAAAATAATAATTAGATTACAATCAGAATGTAAAAAACGAGAGAGAAAAGAATGATTAGTTTAACATTAATATAAATTACGTGAAAATAGTTGGAGGAATCACTTCAAATGATTTTGGATTAATTATCATATTTAGTATTGTAATTCCATTGATGTGGCAATTCGACAACTAATTTACGTTGAATTAGGTGGTGAAATTGAATATGATAAATTTACGATTGAAGGAAGCACTTTGTGGGCCCATTGAACGATCCTTTTCCCATAATTTTTTTTTAAAAAAGATTTAGTGATAATAACATTCCACTAAAACTAATAATGTGACTAAAAAACTCAATATTATTTCTGATATTTGGAAAAAAAATATTAGAATAGAATTTAAGTGATAACACAATTTTAAACATAATATTTTAAAAACTTTAGCAAAAATATTATATCAAAAAATTCATTCTTTATTAAAAATATGCAAACTTGTATAAACATGTAGCATACTATATATATATATATTATAAATAGATATAGTCACACGATAAAGATTTATTTGAATTAAAATTCTATCAAAATAGGATTTACAATATATCTAACAAAAATATCGAGTATATTTTCTCCCAAATATGATAGTACTTTATTATATTTTAAATATTTTTCTAAGATAGAAAATTAGACATGTAAAATTTGTTGATAATTTTTAAAATAATATCATTTATTATAGTGACTGTACATGACTATTTTTATCTAATTTTATTGTTTGTATTTTTTCATATTTTTTTATTTTCTATTTTTTATTCTTTCCTTTGGGTTCCATATCCTTAATTTTTCTAAATTTTGTATTCCCTACTACTTTTTATTTCCTATCAGTTTACTTTTCTCCATAAGCATATTAATTTTCTTTTTGTATTTATTTAAAAAATTAGAATTATAAAAATTCATATAACATTTTAGTTGTAGCCACAAAAGAAAAGAGTATTGCACCAACTTTTTGATAAGACCGTTTTGACCTTTTAACACCTTACTTTTAACTTATTAAGAAAAACTTCACTTTGTATCAAATCGAAAATTTTTCAGATACTTAATTAGCATTGGATATTATTTAAAATAAACTATTATTTTATACAACTAAACAAATAAATATCATTTTACATCTTAAATCTAAGTATTTCGTATACTGTAATTTTAACTAAAAAACACACAAGTTGTCTAATCAAACCATTAATGAGACATCTTTATTTTTTTTTTAAAAATTGTCATATAGTAAAACTATATAATATGGGGACCAGGAGGAGTCAATACGTCGTCGTTTACTGGCCATGCATTACAGTAGGATAAAGCGTGTTGACCAGCTGTGCCTCCTTTGACCTCTGAATTGTAGCACGTGCCTGAAACACGCTTGTCTTTTTTTTTTTCTTTTTTTTTGGGTCTACGCATGTCTTTTTCCCAAAATCAATTCTTTTGACAAATAAAAATTACATTTTAATTTTTTTTTTGCTTTCATGCATCGCACACACACACGAGCAGACGTACGGTCACTTTTTACTTTTTTTTTTTTTGTCTATTTTGAAACTTATTTGCATAATTTAATTAGTATATTATTCTTTGCTCTTGTCGTGAATGCAAGCTTTCATCTTGTCGGCACTTTTACTTTTAAACTTGAAAATATTGTGTTTTTATATTTTAAAGATTCGATCCATATGACATTTACCTATTTTTTTTTAGTAATTCAGTTTATATTTTTGCCTGGGAATTAGATTGGAAAAATTCTACAGATCTGATTGATCTTTATTTTTTTTTATTTTTTTTTGGTAAAAAGATTGATATTTATTATATCATAAATTCTTTGTTTCTACATTTTAATTAATAACAAAATAATAATCATTTATTTATTTATTTTAATATTTTTTTATATTTCCTTGTTATAATCCCCATAAACATATGTTTTTGTATGTCAAGAATTTATATAAAATTTTGAAATAATTACATAGAAAATATAGGGTTCATGTCATTTGAACCGAGAGTTCCATGGTTTTGATAATATATATATATATATATATATATAATTTTGTAATTAAATTATATTTTTTATATTTATGGCTGTTTGTGTTATGAAAAAAAAATGTGGAAGAGCTTAGCTGAGTGTTAGGGGTTCATTACGAAAGAGCTGATGTTCACTGGTCAGCCGTCACCAGCCACAGATACAGTTCTAATAATTAAATAATATTATATATATATGTATGTATGTATGTATGTATGTATCTACGTTTACTAGTATTCGAGTGAGGTGTGAGTGAAATTAATATTAATATTTATAAAATTAATATGTATATATAATTCTTTCAACATATTTATACAATTCACCCTTCACCAAAAAAAAAAAAATATTAATATCATTTTTTAAACTAATTAATTAATTAAATTTAGGTTTAACATCCTTCATAATAAATTTTGAATCTGGATTTCACACAGAACTGCATGTATACTATTTTTATACGAAGATTATTGAAATCAAAAGTAATATATCTATCTAAAGGAATAAAACTTCATTTTTGGATTTCACAATACCAAAGTTTCAAACATTGTTTTTTTGAAACAGAAGGAATGAAACAATTTTTTTTATAAAGTTATAAATAAGAACCATATAATATATATAAGTTAAAAAAATTCTAATCTAATTCTTTTAAAGAGTGTTTTGTAAAACAACTTGTAATTCTGAATATTCCATAGATTAATATAAATTACATATGAAAGATATTTAATATTCTTTTATAGATTCGTTATACTCTGTGGAATGTCACTAATATTAGTTGTAATTATTTAAATTAATCTATATAAAAAATTATAAAACTAGTATTAATTTTATATTTTTGTTTCCAATAAAATCAAATTAATTTATGTCATTCAGATTTTATAAAATAACAGATTTCATAATTTCAATCCATATGAAATTCGGTTAATAGGAAAAATTCAATGAAAACATCTAAAAATGGAAATTTAGATATCAAATTCTAAAGAGGTCTAAATATTTTTTTTCATCAAAGTAAATATATAAAAATAGATTTCCAAAACATAAAAATATAAGAGAACAATAGGCCCCTTTACCAAAAAAAAAAAAAGAACAATAAGTCCAACTATAAATTGGCTTCCTCTATTGATGAAGACAAAGTTATGTAAAGTTATCATTTTTTTTCCTTTCTCTATTCATACATTAATGAATTTATTTCTTGGAGAAATTGTGAGGAGTTTGATCTTTAAAAATACTTTTTACTCGTTGAAAAAATAATTTTGTTAATAATTTTCTTCGAATTTTTTAATTTGACAAAAAAACCCCAAGATATATAATATATATATATATGCTTATATATATATATATATATATATCCGTTGAAGAAGGAAAGTCAGGTCGCTTGGCCTAGCGTTTTTGGCGGCTAGTCTCCCATCCATCGATTCCAACGGATCATTCTCTCTCTGCCATTATCTCTCTCTCCCTCTCTCATCTTCGCCTTCTTCTTCTTCCTCTTTTTTTTTTTTTCTTCCTTCTCTTTTTCTTTTTCTCCGACCCTCCGAGAAACCATCTCGGATCCTGGAGATCTGCATTTGGTTGATTTTTCCCCTAATTTTGTTCGATCGCCGTTTTGTCTTGCCCGATTGGAGATCAGCGTCGGATTTCTCCCGCGGCAAGGACAACGGGAGGCGAATCGAAGAATCGAAAGTGCTCTGAAACGGGCTGGCGTTGCATTTTTTCCCAATTTTCGGGGTTTGAGATTCATGGGGATTTGCTTAAGCACTGAAGAGCAGTACCGATATTCCCAACAACACGAGTCTCAGCGCCGTCAATACATCAAGAAGATGCCCGGTATTCGTCGATCTCTACCTACCGATTTCGATATCTCTTTAGCTGATTTTTTTTTCCTGGTGTATTGGAATTTAGGGTATTCTTTCAGTGTAGAAATGTTGATTTGTGGCCATTTTAGTGGATTTTCTTCACAATCTGATTTTTTGTGTGCGCTAATGGTGATGTTTCTAATGCGTTGTAGCTTTAGATGTGGGTTACATTGTCTGGATATTGAATCCTGCAAATGACTTAAGTTAGAGTGACCAAAATGCTTGGAATTGGATTTATGTGTTGTCTACATATTCAAGTTTCCTTTTAACACTTGCATATGTTCATGTCTTTGCATATGTTTCTACCTTTGCTTCTCTGAGAGAGGGATATAGTGTGAGGGGCGAGAAGAACTTATTGATTCCTTTAGACCCATTTTGATTTTGAGGTAACAATTTTATATTATGTCGGCATATACTCCAGGAGATTCCGGCAACAATTCTGCTGCATATCTGATGAATTCTGATAGGCAAGGCTCGGCCGGTAACAAAAGTTCAAGCAGCCTTCCCTTAGCTCCTAAGAATATCAAAGATCTTCAGTTAAATCCTGGATACAAAGATGTCGATATCTTCACTTACGAGGAGATGAAGTTAGCCACAAAGCAGTTCAGACCCGATTACATTCTTGGCGAGGGGGGTTTTGGAGTGGTTTATAAGGGAGTCATAGATGAAAGTGTGAGATCTGGGTACAAGTCTACGAAAGTTGCAATTAAAGAGCTTAATCCGGAGGGGTTCCAAGGAGATAGAGAATGGCTGGTAGTTATCTCGGCTATATACATATATTTCCTTTCCTTTTCCTGGTTTGCTCCATTTGCATGCTAAGTTCTTAAAGGCATTATTTGCAATTCGACATTCGATCGGATTTTTGTGTGTATGATTTCACATTGAAACCAGGCCATGGGAGAAACTACTTATCTGTAGCGGAACTAAAATTAGTAATAGCTAGGCTATCTTCAGTTGTTTTAACTCCATGGATACTTTATCTCTTGCAGGCTGAAGTCAACTATTTGGGACAGCTTAGTCACTCAAATCTGGTCAAGCTCATTGGATACTGCTGCGAGGATGAGCACAGGTTGTTGGTATATGAATACATGGCAAATGGAAGCCTTGAGAAACATCTTTTCCGGAGTAAGTGTTCGATCCCTTCTAACAAATGAATGAAACTGGAAAAATCCCTTTTGGGTCCATTAAATCATCCTTTATAGCTTTATCCTGTGGTTTAATACCCGAAAACTTCTGTTGCCTTGAGGAGTTCATCAAGTGCAGGCTTCTTTGGGAGGAGAAAACCATTAGTTTTTCCTTTTTTTTTTTATGGAGAAATGATAAAAATATTGATTATGACTTATCTCACTCCCTTCCCTAGAATGTCCCAGTTTTAGCATTATTTCGGTAGAAAGTTTTCCAGTTTATACCAACTCTGTCATGCCCAATCAATAGGATGCTGCCAACTTACCTGAGCTTCATTATTTGGATCTTGTAAAAATCTTCGCGGAGCTAAGCTTTCCAAACTAAGTTCCTGTCTCTAATCATCATCTCCCCTTCAGAAAATTGCTCCATGTTAACCTTCATTAGATCACTATATAAGAAAGAATTGTTTAGATTTATCTGCCGAAGAATTCAACGGGTTAACAAAATGCCCTAGAGGGCAGGACTTTGGCAAGCTTCTATATTCTTGCTGTTGTTTTAAGCTGAAACCGTAAGCTGTGCTCAAGTAGTGATGACTCAGGGGTAGTTGAGGTTGGTGACTCGTAAACGATGATATTAACATATATATTATTTTCTTGGTTGCGGCAAATATCTCGAAGAGGATGTGGCAAAAATTGCATTCGCTACACAAATGAATGTGTAAATGTGACTAAAGGTCTCTTTTTCTTTTTTTATTGACTCGCAGGAGTTGGCTGCACTCTGACATGGTCAAGAAGAATGAAGATTGCTTTAGATGCGGCCAAGGGACTTGCATTTCTACATGGCGCTGAACGGTCCATCATTTATCGTGATCTGAAGACGGCAAATATCTTACTCGATGAGGTTAGCTATTACTACCTTCATTTGGAAATTAAATAGATAGTAATCTAAGGTTCTTTATTTGGTAGTCTATGAGGACATGAAGTTGTTGGCCTTCTGTAGATTCTCCTTTGAATGGTACATAAGCTCCAAAACGTTACCTGGTTTATCTACTGTTCTAAATATATATTTCTTTCGAGCATCTGCTCCCCGGTTGAATTCTTTGCTTCTTCTGAAAGTTGAAATTACTCGTGCAGAATTTCAATGCCAAGCTTTCGGATTTTGGGCTGGCAAAGGATGGTCCGAGAGGAGATCAAACACACGTTTCGACACGTGTTATGGGTACATATGGATACGCTGCTCCTGAATACGTAATGACAGGTCCGTGCTTTTTTTGTAACCAGAAAAATAAACTCGATATCACCATGGTCAACTAATGCAAGACATATTCATTTGTTCCACCCGAGCAAAACTGCTCCTTTTGCCCTCTCAACTTATATTTTCAGTCAATTATAACCAATAGAGAAGAAATGCCATATCCCTTCGGTTCGAGCATTTTGTGAAACAACTGTTTTGTAAAAGGGTCATTTCATATGATTGTACCCAGGCCATTTAACAGCCCGGAGCGACGTGTATGGTTTCGGGGTACTTCTCCTCGAGATGCTTCTCGGGAAGAGAGCGATGGACAAAAGCAGACCTTGTCGGGAGCATAACCTCGTTGAATGGGCAAGGCCTCTCTTGAATCATAACAAGAAGCTTCTCAGAATCATAGACCCGAGAATGGATGGGCAATACACGACCAAGGCGTTAATGAAAGTCGCCAGTTTGGCATACCAATGCCTCAGCCAAAACCCGAAAGGAAGGCCCCTCATGAACCACGTGGTGGAAGTCCTCGAGGCTCATCTGGTGAACGATGAATCTCGGGAGGAGGAAGAAGAAGCCATGACTCTTCACAGCAGGGGCAGTTCTGTAATTTTATATGAGGCCCCGAGTGATTCACAAGGCATGCCTATGGAAAGGAAAAACGGCGGGGAAGACGAGCACAGGAGGAGAAGACAAGAAAGAAGGAGCAAGAGCGAAGCTGCAGTTGATTCCGCTCGAAATGGCAATGCTCCATGTTCGATTTCACCCAATGTATGAGAGACTCGGGGCGAAAAGAAATCCCGGGTTCTTACAATAAGTGAGTAGTAGAGTTGGCGAAATGCCAAAATGTATAAACAGTGTATTCGTTTTGAAGATTTTTTTTTTCTATTTTTTTTTGGTTTTCGGATTCGGGTGAGGGTGAAACTATTAGTGCAAAAGGTGTAAGTTGAAAAATCCTTGTAACGCAAGTGAATTTAAGAAATGTATTTTTGTGACTAGAGATTTAACTCGTCTTTGCTTTGTCATTAGTTATACATTTGTATGTAAATGACATTAGATCTATGATGTATGTATACATATATATATATATAGATACTAATAAATCCAAGTGATTCGTTCTTCCTCTGGCAAAAACATAAAAGGAATAATACATACATCACAGTCACAGACACAAACACGGCGTGTTGATAAGCTGAAAATTCATGTCCATGGAAAGGAGATTCGGAACACTTTTTTTTTTTTTTTGCAACAAGACGAGTATTTGTACTTTGATCACTGAGACACCGATACATCACTTGCATCGGAATGTAATAAGGATGTTTCGGTTTCCATAGTAGCGGCAGAGATTTTCAATTCACCGCTCTCTGGTCACGAACACTGCCTATTTCCCTGCAAAATGCCAAAGTGTTTAGAACTGATTTCAAGATTTATAAGGCTCGAGCTCTTACAATGTGGGGTTATAACTTTTATTCAGATGCTATTTGAAGAACCCGTTCTTATCATATGTTGGGAAGTTTTAATGCCATTATACTGATTTATACGAGACTGATTTTGGCGAAACGAGTTTACTAAGAATCGGAATATAATTTCAACTTACCCCATAATTTGTGTAACTTCGCGGCGAGTTGTGTGACTAATCTTTTCTCGGAAAGATTCGAGAAGTCCGTCCCTGCAGCCTCCTGAACTGCAGCCAACAGTTCAGCTCTCGTCTTCGCGGAGGGAACCAAGTAATTCGGTCCACGAGCAACACTCAGGTCCACAACCTAAAACAAAGCGAAACAAATAAGGAAAAAAAAATCAGTACTGATCTGTCAAGGGGAAACCGAGTGAGTGAGCAACTCAAGAATGAATTTTTACAAACTTGCCTGATATAACCAAGGAAGTATCGAGTTCATGAATCTTCTTTCTAGGAGGTACGAGACCAGAATGCC